CATGGCCTAAAGGTAAGACCCCACCATCCTGCCTGCTGAGGAAGAAGCAGGAATGGCGGGGGCCCAGAGCCTCCAGTGTGCAACAGGAGGGAGGCATGAACAGTCTGGAAGTCTGGGCAGACCAGGGGTGAGAGGTAGGGAACACAATGGCCAGAGCCTCCAGAGGGTGTCTGGGGCTGGGGCCCTACAGCCCTCTCACTCAGGCAGCTTGCCAAACCCACACCCATAACTTCCCCACCAGCTCTCTCCATCCCTTGCCTATCTCCCCCTTCAGAATAGGAAAGGGGAGACTAATAAGAATAGTGATATCTGTAGAGTCCTTCCTCCATGTCCATGTTTCTTCCTTATACATGATCTCATTTAATACAGCATTATAGGATTAATTGCTCTCATTTTACCAATGTGGAAACCAAGGGCTGGAACTATGAAACAGCTTCCTCAGTGCCATGGAGCTAGAAAGTGGCCTTGTCAAGAGTATTGTGGAGAGGAGGGCAGATGCAAAATAGTCTCCTGAGGAAGTTCTGGTGGCGTAGTGCCTAAGGCATTTGACTGCTAACCAGAAGGCTGGCAGTTCAAACCCACCAGCCACTCCTTGGGAGGAAGATTGGGCAATCTACTTCTGTAGAGATACCACCTCAGAAACCCAAGGAGGGGTCGCTATGAGTCCAAATCAACTCAACAGGCAGTTGAGTTTGGTTTGGTTTCTTGAGGAAGTGGTGGGGGGAGGGGCCAAGCATTTCCGGCCCACTCCCACAGTCAAAGAAAGAAAGAAACTATGTTTAATGGTGGGAGCTCTGGTAACATAGTACCTAAGGCATTTGACTGCAAACCAGAGGGCTGGCAGTTCAAACCCACCAGTCACTCCTCGGAAGGAAGATGAGGCAATCTACTTTCTCGGAAACCCAAGGAGGGGTCACTATGAGTTGGGTCCGACTTGATGGCATATAACAACAACATGTTTAGGTAGGAGTTCCGATAGCGTAGTGCCTAAGGCACTTGACTGCTAACCAGAAGGCTGGCAGTTCAAACCCACCAGCCTCAGAGGAAGGTTGGGCAGTCTACTATCCATAGTGATACCGCCTTGGAAACCCACTTGATGGCACATCGAGACAATATGTTTAAGGGTAGTAGCCCATTGACCACAAAGGGCCAGTGGATGGCTGATGACACAGATCTTGAGATGGCAATGGTCACATGACCAATTGTTGTAGTTGGGGGGCGGGGTCTCAGGAAAGTCCCCACCCACCAAAGGAAGTTCCTTGCCTTCCACTGACCAAGCATGACCAGGTGAGACAAAGAATTTCATGCAAACAAAAATTTATTATGAGAAAAGAATCTGGGCAGAGGAGACCGAAAGCACAGTGAGGGGTGAGGTGTAAGGGTTTTTGGCTAATGTTTTATTCATTAAGTTTCTGGGGAAAAGCAGGTGTTTCACAGAAATGGAAAGTTCCGGGTTGAGTTGTGGTAATTAGATACGTGTGTAGTCTTAGGGATGTTGGAATACTTGACACGATTTGCAAGGGCCTCTGCAATGCTTGGCACATCTCATTACAGGATGTAATGCGTGCTGTTCTTTGGAGTGTTGGTTTGGTTCCTGATCAGGGCCATTATCATCTCACAAAGGTTATGCACAGACAGTCAGTATCAAGCTGTGCATGTCTGGAGAGCTGGAAATGAGGTTGCCTGCAAACACTTGCAAAAACGTTGAAGCACAGAGCTAGCGGAAGTTGCTAGTTATTTCTGCACCCAGTGTCTCAGGATGTGGTTTGGCTTTTAGCTACAGCTGTTGTTGTTTTGTTGTTATGTGCTGTCAAGTTGGACTCTACTCATAGTTACCCCTCCTTGGGTTTCTGAGGCGTTATCACTATGGAAGTAGATTGCCCAACCTTCCTTCTGAGGAGTGGCTGATAGATTTGAACCGCCAGCCTTCTGGTTAGCAGTCAAGTGCCTTCAGGCACTAAGCTACCAGAGCTCTGAGAAAGAGATGGCCAGGGCTACCTGGCACCCTGGCAGGAGCCGTTGGTGGATTTGAACCGCCAGACTTGGGTGTGGCAGGTGACTGCCCTAGGCCTGAGGCCATCCCCTTAGGGCCTTAGCTACAGCAGTTAGGCTTTAAGCTTACAGCTTGTGTTTTTAGTTAACCCTTCAGGTCCTACCATCTTCTGCCAGTCTCACAATTCCTTAGGCAATATCATCACCTGTACCAGTTGCAATGGTGTAGATTCTAGCTAATGGCAACTTCATGGTTGCAGAATAGAACTGCTCCACAGGTTTTTCAAGGCTATGACCTTTCAGAAGCAGATGATAGGCTATTCTTTTGAGGAGCCTCTGGGTGGGTTCCATTAGTAATCAAGCACTTAACAATTTGTGCCACCCAGGGACTCCTGGCAATATCGCAACAGGAGCAAATTTCCCAGGATGTTTCAGGCAGCCTCTTTCTCCTGCCTTAGTCCCACGGTGCCTGACACTGACCCATTTTGTCACCTCCATCAGCCTGGCAGGGAGCATGCACCTCCAAAAGCAGGGAGGTGATCTGATGATTGCTTCCTTGGTTTCTTTTATCCCTCTCTGGGCTGAAGCCTGAGGTATAATGATCTTTCTTGGGTTGGTTAGTGAGAAGTGGAAATCTAGGCCTAGCTGAAACCTCTTCCTGGAGCAAAAGAAAGATGTAGGCAATGTCTGAGCCTCCATAGAGAGCAGGCTGGGAACGTGGAGCAGACAACATCTCCACACAATCTATTTATCTGATAGGTGGAGTAGTGGGGTTTTCACAGAAAGAGAGATGGCAGGCCCCTAGCTACGTATGTGGAAAACAATAACTGGAAGTCAACTGTGTGAGGAGGCCACAATCATGAATTTGTACTCAAAACAAGTTCTTGACACCCAGTATGAGCACCAGCTGCCAGAACTTAGGCTATGAGTAGAAGCAGTCCAGGGCAAAGCAGAAGTCAAAGCCAGAAACCAGAGTTCTCACAGCAGGGAGGGCTAGGTCAGAGACTGTATCCAGGCCACTTTGAATACCATCTGGATAACCCTGGACAGGATCCAGAATTTGACCCCTTCTTATACCTCCACTGCTACTACATGCATTCATATCATCCTTTTTACTTTTTCTTCCTACATTATTGCAGTATCCTGCAAACACCCCAAGCACATTTCTGCCTCAGCACCTTCACACTTGCGGTTCCCTACAGACCTATAATGCTCTCTCCCACATCCTTGCATGCCTCACTCCTTCAGATCTTTAATCGTAAGTCTCCTTTTAGGGGAGACCTTCGGCATCCACTCTACCTGTGAATGTAAAACCCCTCCCCTAACATTTCACATTCCCCTGCTTTATTTTTTTCTTGTCAACCCTTATTACCATCCAGCCTGTCATCCATTTTGATTGTTTATTTTG